GGAGCAGGCCGCCCAGCCCCAACCTGCTGAGGCTGCATTCCCAGGACCCACTGGTCCAGCCCTGCTCTGGGTCTCTTATGTTTTGGGAAACTTGGACCAGATTCCCGGTGGAACTCACTGGGCAGGTCGTGAGCTCTCACGCAGAGTTGCAAGGTCCAGCCCCTCTCTGGGCAGAGAGAATGAGCCCTGTCACTCTCAGGGCCAAAGAGTGGACAGGACTCAGCTTGATGGAGGCTTTATACTCTGAATTTTGCCTCTTTCTCCTGAGCCCCTCCTACCCTTGGCCTTTCCAGCTCTGCCACAGGAGCCACCCTGCCCCTGATGGAGATCAAAGGCTCTCTGGGCTCTGGGACTCACCCATGCTGCTCCCTGGCCTGGCACATCCCTCCTCCCTCTGCTCTGCACAGGCCCTCCTCACACTGCCCTGTGGGCATCAGTCCTGTCTCTTCTTCCAGAACTCGCTGCCTATGCCTGTTTCCTTCTGCCCTGGACTCCCGTGGCTGTCCACGTTCTACCTTCTGCCCCTCCCTGAGTGCCCCCAACTCTTATGTTGGATTTCCTTATTTATAGTTGTTGCCCTGCAGTGTGGGGAGCAGTGCCTGATGCTCCTCCAGGAGATGGCCTGGGGCCTGGCACAGGCTGTTTCTCTGTAGGGAAACTCTCTCCCCCTCCCCCCAGTTAACCACTGCTCATTCATTCAAGGGTCCCTTCCTCCCACAAGCTCCCCTATCCCCAGACCAAGCCCGGCTGTGCTGGTGGATGCTCTTGGGGCTCCCTTCCAGCACCAACCTCATTACACATTTATGACGCAGGTGTGGGATTGGTGCCCATCTCCTGCCCCCATGAGAAGCTTCACAAAGGTGGGGAGCACATCTGCCCTGCTCCCATTGCCTGGCACTCACTGACCTGGTGCTGACAGGGCACTGAGGGCAGGGCCTCTATTACTGCTGCATCTTCAGAGCACCCAAGACGTGCTCAGAAATGGGGGCCTGTCCCCACCCCAGCCTGATTGCGGAATGACTGGCCAGTGTGCCTCCTCTCAGCATCTGGACTGTAGACACGGGGAAAGCGCCCAGTGCAGGCCCAGCCCAGGGGTCTATTGACTCTGAATGTGCTGTCCCTTCAGGATGGAACTCGCCTAGGGAGGAGGGACTCTGTCTCCCTACTCACAGACCCTCCACCCTCTGTTCCTGTCCCTGAGACACCAGACAACGCCAGCCCCTCCTGCGTGCTCAGAATCTGGAGCTTGGTGATGAGTGTTTCAGGCGGTGGGAGAGTGCCAATCTCCCTGGAACTAGGAGACCTGAACCTGGAAGAGGGTGGGAACAAGTGAAAAAGATTACATGTGGTGGATCATTGTCACTGGAGGCTGCAGGGCACAGGTGTCCCACGGACCCATCACAGGATAGCTCTCTGGTGAGCCACCACTCACCAGCTCTGGTTTCAATTGTGTGGATTTTATGCAGTAGGCACGGAGACAGTGGGGACAGTCCACCTTCTGGAGTCAAGACATCCAGGTGTCCTCTCTGTGGCCTGGACACCTTCCCTCCCCATCTCAGCCCGCAGGATGGGGTGACAGCTGTCAGAAAGGCTCCATGGGATTAATGAGGTCATGTGGGCCAAGTGCCTATGGTGGGGCCGGACACTTAGTAGGCCCTCAGCAGTGCTGTCTCCCCTCTGCCCTCCCAGGGTCAAGGTAGCTGGGACTCCATTAGTCCGTCGGCCCAGCAGGTACCCTTGTTGCTTCGCCAGGAGTGGGAATCCCGAGCTGTAGGTGACTGTTAAACAGATACAATCTCTTGTGGTCAGTGCTGGCCACAAGAGCCTTCATCCAGCTTCCCTGTCCATAAATGGGGATGATGGCCTCCAACCTTGTGTTCCCAGTCTGGATAGGAAAGGTCCAGAGCCCTGTGAACCGAGCAGAGATGCCTCAGAGAGCCAGTCCCGAGCACCACGTTTGAGATGAGCATGAAGACTGGACTTGGGTGGCTGCCAATGGTCTGCATGGAACACGGCATTTGACTGGCAATTGTCCATCTTAAGCTTGGTTCTTTTTGTTAAATTTCTATATTGTTTGAAATGTTTTCTGGTTTCATTGAGGAATAATTGACAGATATCACTGTGTGAGTTTCAGGTGTCCAGCTTGATGGTTTCTTTCCTGTATCTCATAGAGCAGTGCTCACTGTAGTCACCGTGCTGTACAGTACGTCCCCAGTACTTATTCATCTTATAACCGGAAGTTCATACCCTTACACCACCTTCCTCCAATTCATCTTCCCCCAACCTCCATCTCAGGTAACCACAGGTCTAATCACTTTTTCTATGAGTTTGGTGGGATTTTTGTTGTTGTTTTTAGGTTTTATATATGAGATCACACAGTATTTGTCTTTCTCTGCCTGAGTGATTTCACTCAGCATAATGCCTTCAGGGTCCATCCATGTTGTCACAAATGGTAGGATTTCGTCATTTTCTACTGCTGAATAATATTCCATTGTCTGTATATACCACGACTTCCTTCTCCATCCATCTGTTCATTAAGTACGGTCTTGATCAGGGGCTTGCAGCTTTGGAGGCGCAGCGTCACTCCAGTTCAAGGCTGAGCTCCACCACTCACCTGCTGTGTGGCCTTGGACTGCTACTTAACCTTTCCGAGCCTCCATCACCTCATCAGTAAAATGGGGGTCATTCTACAGACCCCAAAAGTAAATCCCATGTATTATAATTTCCTGGCAATTCCTGCCCCATGAATCTTTCCCTGAATAGGTCCCTATCCCCCAGTCCCTTCTCCCACTCCCAATTCCCTCCCCTGACACACACCAGCTGGAGGTGACCTCTTCCACCCGCAGGGTGGCACAGCAATCATCACTTTCTAGTTCCTGCTTTGTAGAAACCGACCCTAGGCCATGTTTTGTTTTGACTGAAGCCCCAGATCCTCCAAGAATGACCCCACGTTCACACCCACTGTGCTGCCAGGAGGACCAAGGACCCTGCATTGAGTCATTATGGGCTGAGACTGTTTTCTCATGTCCTGCTGGAGACCAAAGTGTGGTCCTGTCTTCTTATGGACATGAACCCCCTGCATCATCGGCTTGTGGCCCAGAGCACCCTGGGGCAGCTCTGTGACATGCAGACAGACCGTCCCTACTGACCGTACTCTACGTTCAAACAGAGTCATTGTGCTTCCTTCTTGGGCGGTCAAGCACCAACAAGGCTGGGTCCATCCCGGCAGAGGACAGGTACTTACTGAGCACCATGCATGGGCTGGGGTCTTGGTTGGGCACTGAGGACATGATATGGCAGGAAGGAGACAGGTGGATGGGGACGGGGTGGGGGCTGCCCTGCAGAGGGTAGAGTGTGGTCAGGAAGAGGACCATCAAGCAAAGATGGCAGGTGAGATGAGGGTCACAGAGAAAGGGCCCTTCCTAAATCCTTTGTGGCTCTTGGGCCTCATCAAAGGAGGCTGGAGCCCATCAGCCTCACTGGGCTGCACCAGGGAGCTGCGCCTTCTCCCCAGAGTCACAAGCCCAAGCCTGAGGAATTCAGCAGCAAATGTTTGAAATAGCCAGCAGAAAAAACAAACAAAAAACTTCAAGGCCTGCAAAGAGGTTATAAAGAATTGAGACCTTGTGTGTTAGTGAATACTGACAGAGAAATTGCCAATCGACTTTGGATGGATTTGCTTGAGGGTGTCTTGTGGCTTGTCCCCACCAGAGTCTCCTCGGGAGGAAGGGGATGGACACCCTGGGTCTCAGGCCATGAAGACCAGCAGCCCCATAGGAGGCTCACAGAGGCGCAGTGGGATGTTCTCATTTCAAATGCCTGGTCCCTCTCTGTGAGTGGTCAGAATGGACAGCTCATGGCATGGGTTTTGTGTTGTTTTGTTTGGAAAATGTGTCCAGGAATTGACTTCTCTCCACAGTGACTGGGAAGGAAACAGAGCTGTGTAGAGCGAAAGAGTGAGGGTCCCACTGGAGAAAGGGTGCGGTGCCTGCTGGGGCTGTGGGTGCAGCCACAGAAGCACTGGGGAGTCTGAGCTGGGGCTGCTCTGGACTGCGGGCAGATTCTAGGACTTGTATGAGTTTTGCAGCAGTAGTATCTGAATTACAAAACAAAAACAAAACCAGGCAAACTCCTGGAATGTGATACTTGTTTAAAAATACAGTTAAAAAAGAATAAAGAAATTGTGGTCCAGGAAACAAAAACCCAAAGGCAACAAACAGGTAGTGGAAGGACACGGGGAGGGGAGTCCTCCCACCTCTGAGAGAAGGGCACGGATCTGCTCGAGGCGGCCCTTCCTGTCCCTTGGATTCAATGCAGATTGGCCCCAGCGCCGCCTCCACCGCCCTCCTCCGGGGCTGGCAGGGCTGAGAGCGGCTTCCTCCCCTCAGACAGACAGACTGAAGCTCCAGCACCGAGTGGTGCGGACCGCGGGTGCAGGGTTCCTGGCGCCGGCTTCGAAGGCTGAGGAGAAGGGATGGTGGCGAGAGCTGGTCTCGACAGGGCCCCGGCAGACCCCCAGCCTGCAGCTGTGGGCAAGACTAGGACCTCATCCCACAGCGAGCCCAGAGGCGGAGGTCGCGCATATCAAGGCACCCTGTGAAAGATGAAGGCGACCCAATTTAAGAACAGTTAAAGCAGTGGTGACCCGAGCGGTGCCGCGGTGGGGAGTTTTGGGAGCCTAATTATTGATGGTTCTCGTTCTTAAGGGATGGAGATCCCCTGTGAAGAGGGCAAAGAGTGCGAAGCTCTTCATCAAAGCGCCTTTTTCTGCTCCCCACGGGAGCTGGCTCCAGGAGTTGGGACACAGCAGTCAGGCGCCGACCCCAGCTCTGCAAGCCGGCTGCGCGCCCTCGGGTGGTTCTGGGCGGTGCCCCAGGCAGTCTGGCGGGTCCCTTGGGGTGCGCAGGGCTGGCACGGACTGCGCGGGGCAGGCGGCGGCCCGGGGCTCCTCCCTCCTGGGTCCCAGGCGCTTCTGCTCTTAATCCGCGCGGGGCGGGGGGACCGGGTCACTGGGCTCCGAGAGCAAGCGAGCGGTCAGCGTGGAACCAGAATCTCGAGCCTCCTGTCCTGAGGGCACGCCAGCATGCCGGCATGGCCCGGCCCAGCGGCGTCAGAGTCTTCATCAAATACCCAGCGTTTTTCTTCTGGGAGCTTGTGAGTGGCTGGCGCCCAAGCCTGGGAGGGAGTGGGATGGGCCTTGTGGCATGCCATCACGGGGGCTCCGCACAGACCTCTGACCAGATCCACAAGTTGCTGGTCCAGGGAGCGTCGGGATGGCAGGGCCAGGGTGAGGAATGTCTCTCCCTACCCCAGTGGTTTGGCCCCTTTTAGACCAACGACAAAGGGGGAAACAATCTCCAGGATTTAGGTGGAAAAACCACATTCGCAGGCAGCATGGGTCAGATGTTGGGAGCAGGCCAGGGTCCTTCCTTGTGTGCTGGTTCCATAGCTGTGCTCCTGACCCCATTAACCTGGGCGGAGAGGAAGCCCTTATGGGAGAGGGACGTCCTTGTAGAGGTGGCCAGCTTTGTCCAGGGTTAGGATTTCATTTACAAAAATCAGCAAAAGAAGCCTGAGCATCACCAACCGAGGTTTGGGGACTGGGCTGGTGAGGGAGGAGCTGAATCTGGAGTATTCTCTTCTGGCCTTTGAAGGTTTCTGGTGAGAGAATATATTTGCGACATCTTTGATCTGGAAATAATAAAACAGGCCACCGTTTGATTCACAGTCATTCTACCCTGTGTGTGGAGTAGGGGGAGGGGAGAGGCCAGCCCAATTGGTACCCTGCTTTGGCTGACCTTGAGCCATCCAGTGGCCTCCCTACCTGTGGCTGGTTCCTTCTTCGGCTGCAGCCACACAGGTCAGCTGTTAGCTGCTGGAAAGCACTTCCTACCCTGGGCTCCTGGTACAGTGCTCACTGTATCAGGAACTTCAGACCGCCCTCAGGCTAAACTCCCCAGGGGCCACAGGCCCTTACCTGGGAGGGGCTGCTGTGTATATTCTGTGGGCGCCCAGCGATGCAGCCATGGAGACTCCATTCCTGCACCCCCAATGCGGAAGAGTTGGTTGGAAGTTTGTCTTCAAACCTGGCTGTTTAAAAACAGGACCCCAGCTTCTTCTTGCCTGATTGGAGGTGGGAGGGTGTGACCAGGAAAGGGAGTAGGTTCTGTCATCCATGGAGGGTTTGGGGAAAGGGCTAAGGGGACCGAGGTCACCTGGTGGCCCCGTATCACTGCATTTGTGAGGGTTGAGTTGAGCTCACACCTGTGTGTATCCAGAGTGACATCAAGTCTTGGGGCCACCCAGGGTCAAGGAAGTGACATCTGGAAGAAACCCTGGACACCACTGTGCCCAGCCCCACCATTTATAGATAGGGACACCCAGGCCCAGAGTGGGGAGAGGCTTGTACCCACTGGAACATTCTTTCCCCAAGTGGCTCCTCTGGGTGCATCTATTCAGCGCTTGGCCTGTCCTTGCCTGAGGCTGGACGTCTGAAGATGAGCTCACAGTGCCCAGGGCCTGGGATGAGTGGTGGTGGTTCCGTCAGAGGCCACTGTGTTTACAAAGGCAAATTCATGACCAAAAGAGATGGTGGCTAACCGTGAGGCGTGATGGGCAGAGGGATTTTTAAGCAACAAAAGGTCCTCCTAGTGTCTCTTCTGTTGCCCTAATGAGGGGCTTCCTCTGGCTTTGCAGCTGTTTGGGGAGCACTGTGACAAGAATCATGAGAGGGTGTTAGCTGGGCTCCATGCAGAAGACTCTGGGGCACCTCCTTCTCTTGCCTTCACAAGAGCTGGCTCAGGTGGCAGCAGGAGATGGCGGGTGGGGGACCTGGCTTCACAGAAGGCACAGCCCAGTGCCCACTGCCTCCTCTTGGTGTCCCAGCCCAGAGGAAGGAGTGCGCCTGGGGGAGGGACAGCCCAGCCAGACAGGGTGCTCTGTGGGGGAGGGAACAGGAGGATCACCAAAATCCCACCAAGGGAAAGGAGAGAGCAGAGGGTGGGAAATCTCAGAGCCCTGGGTTAGTGGAAACTTTCTCCTCCAGGGTGGTTTTGTGACTTGCAACAGTAGCGACTTCTAGAAGAAATAATTCTCCCTTGTCCAGACCTTGTCCTGCCCTCTCAGCTGTCTTAGAAGTTGTTTTTTCACCTCTACCTCAGCCCCTGCTCCCCAGATGCTGACCCCACTCCCCCCCCCCCACCACACACACTTCCTGAGAGATGCTGGGCACCTCAGCTGTCACCTCCAATCTCTTTCTTCCTCTCTAGATTGGGGATGGCTCGGCTCCCAGGGAGCAGGGAGAACAGGAAGAAGGCAGACACCAGTCCTTTAAGTTTCCTCTGCACACATGGTGGATATGAAGCTGGATGTGCTTGGGTGTGTGAAAGAGCAGAGAACTAAAGAGCCTGAGGAGGCGCTGGCCACCCTGGGAGAGATTTCTAATTATGGACTGTTACAAGGCAACAACCAAAAGATAAATAAGCCAGTTAGAAAGTGGGGGAAGGACTTGAATAGACATTTTGCTGGAGAAGATAGACAGATGTCCAATAAGCACAAGAAAAGATACTCGACATCACTAGTCATTAGGAAAATGAAATCAAAGCCACAGTGAGGTAGCAGTTCACATGAAATCAGGATGACTATTATCAAAAACTGGAAAATAGCAAGTGCAGGCAAGGATGTGGAGCAATTGGAGCCCTCATACATTGCTGGTAGGCATGTAAAAAGGTTTGGTGGTTTCTCAAAACAGTTACCATATGACCCAGCAATTCCACGCCTAGTTTAAAACCAGAAGAATTGAAAGCAGGGACCTGAATAGGCACATGGACATGCATGTTCATAGCAACTCTATTCACAGTAACCAGCAGGTCCAAACAGCCGAAATGTCCGGTCAATGGATGAATGGACAAACTGTGACATATTCACACAGTGGAATATTATGCAGCCCTAGAAAGGGAGGAAGCACTGAGACATTCCACACAGTTGGAAACACTGTGCTGAGTATAAGAAGCCAGACACGAGGGTCACATATTGTGTGATTCCATTCATATAAAATACACAGAATAGGCAAATCCATAGAGACAGAACACAAACTGGTGGTTTGCCAGGGGCTGGGGGGAGGGGAATGGGGAGCAACTGCGTAATGGGTGCGGGGTTTCCTTTTGGGGGAGAAAATGTTTGGAATTAGATAGAGGTGGCAGCTGCACAATACCGTGAGTGTATTCAATTCCATTGAACTGGGCAATTTAAAATGAGCTTAATTTATAAATGGTTAGCTTTATGTTATGTGAACATTGTTTTAAAAGAACAATGATTAAAAAATATTTAAAATATTACAGAAAAAAATATTATATATAATACTTTAATAAGCATCCATGTAATTATCACTCAGCTTTGTCAAATCTTAATATTTTGCTGTATTTCCTTTTAGTATGAAGGAAATAAGCTTTTCAGGTGGCTTCTAAGTCCCTGGATGTGCCTCTGTCTTACTCCCCTCCCTCCATCCTCAGGAGCCTCGGGCTGGATGTGGTGGTCCTGACGCCCAGGCAGGGTCAGCCCTTCCCTGCGCCCTGACTGCCTGTGAGCTCCACGGGTGCTGTTTGCTGTGTTTTCACACTTCATGGAAATAGTGTCGTCCTGTCATGTCTTTTTGCAGCGTGCTTTCCATGCAACGGTGTTGAGGTTTATACACGTTGACGCTGTTTATCCATTCTTCTGTTGATGGGCATTTTGGTTATCTCTAATCTGTGGCTTTTTGCTGCTGCAGACGGCATTGACAAAGCACATTCTTGTATTTGCCTCTGTGGTTACATGTTGGGAATTTCTTGGGGGACACAGAGGATTGGACTCGCTGGGTCATAGGGAACGCACATCTTCATCTTCCCAGAGTTACCACATTGCTGTCCAAAAGGGTTATTCCAATTTACACAGCCCGGGAGCGGAGTCACTGGGAAGTGTATGAAGCTTAATTAGGCTCAGGACCCCCACTTGCTCAGGCCCCTTTCAAGATTCGGAGTCACTTTTTATTCTTTTATAAAGAAGGTCCCCAAATTGTATAAGCTTCAGGCTAACCCTGGACCTTCCTGACTCCCACCAGCAGCAGATGAAAGTCCCCGTTGTCCCTCATCCTGGCCACATTTGGCATCGTCAGACTTTATGATTTTCTGCTAATCCAATGGGTGTAAAATGCTTGATTAGTTTTTAAATCTGTCATCCAGCGAGTTGATTACTCACAGTTCCCATTTCCATGCCTGAGCTCCCAATAGCCTGGGAGGGGCAGATGTGAAACCCTTGGCCTCCAGGACCAACAGGGTGGGGCTCCCCCCACCCCCAAGGCAGGGATACTGCCCACCAGAGAAGGGAAGGACGATGGCTCAGGGTGGGGCCTGGCAACCTTACCCTGCCCAGCACCCCATCCCAGAGCTCCTGCCCTCTGAAAGCTCATGGTCCTCATGGGAGGTGGAAGGCAGCCCAGCCAGGGCTGTGACACTGCCTCTCTGAGCCCCTGGAGCCCACAGGCCATACGGCTGTTGCAGGCAGTGGGGTCCCAGTGCACCCCACACAGGCCCCGGTGGAACGCCCAGGGTCTCCCCTCCCCAACAGCTGCACCCAGGTCTCTGCTTCTGGCCTGTTCCCCTGTCCCCACCCAAGGGGGACATTCCTTTTGGAACCACAGTCTGTTTCTTCCTCCTCCTCCTCACTTCTAAGCCAGGGGCATCCTGACACTCAGGCCCCCATTCACAGCACAGGATGTTTACCTAGGATGCTGTTTGTCTCAGCTCCGGCCAGTCCCAAGAGGAAACTTCTCTCACAAAGTACCAGGAGGTATCCCCCTGTCCCACACTTTCAGAATCTGGGAAGGAAATGCCTGGAAAGGGGTTGTGAAGTCATTAACCTGGCTCCCTCCCCCCAGCCTGTGTGCAGTGCAGCCCCTGAAAGAATGGCTGGAATGGAGAGAACTTTTCTTTGGACAGAGCCTGCTGGATGCCACCCCCTCTCCAGGGCGGACCCCCTCCTTGCATGCACCCCTCAGGAGCTTGGGGACTCAGAGGGGTAGGGTCACCTGGTGGGAGGCAGCGCTTGTAGGGTGCACTTTTTGGGGTGGGGTGGGGTGGGGTGGGGGAACCACCTAGAGTTGGTTTGCAGTTTCCATT